GAGGAGGAGGAGGAGAAGTAGCTTTTGTAGCGACTTGGTTTTTAGAAATTCCACCGCACAAATGGCCGTAATTGGAGGATTCAGAGGCACTCCTGCCACTGGGGATGCGCTTTTGGTCACAACAAGTGTACTTTTGACACACTCTAGAGCAGCAACTGTCTGCGAATTCACATAATGCGCACGTGTCCCGTGCACACTTGGAGCAGGTTGTCTCGTGATGGCGGTGGTGATGTCGGCGTTGGCGTCTTGAACGGTGGCTTCGGTGTCGTCGTGTGCAACAGGATCGGTGACAAGAGGAGGAACGAGTCTCAGTACGAGAGTGTGACAATGGCTTTATTGAGGTCGGCTCGTCTTGTGCACGACTGAGGTCGCCGCTCACATCCTTCACCCACGCAGCAACACGGTCGAAGGAGGAAGCCGTGGAAGAATGTTTCCTTCTGCGCGGAGAGTGTCTCGACCCATCTGAATGAGAGTTCAGCGAGTAAATAGCCTTTTGCTCATTAGAAGGGAGCTCTGTCGACGTGCTCTTCCCTTTAACATTCGAGGATTGAGCACCTTGACTTCTAATTGGGTAGAAGAAAGCATCAATTTGCTTTGGATTGTTAAAGATAGATGAAAGGAAGACTTGTACATTGAAGCAAACATACCCAGCCTTGTACACTAAACTTGCAACATCGCTTACGACCGATGGTGTCAGTGTTTGCTGTCTAGAATCCTTATGTCCAAGCTAAATTAGGGGAAAAGTTTGCTTTCACTTTTCTCAAATGATAATTTTAAAAAAAATTACCGTCAAATACCTGTGGAGATGCATGTGAGCATCGAAGGGAAGAGATTTGAGGGTTTTCGCACAATTTGTCAGTGCGACACCAACTGAAAGTGCCATCATTACCTACAATGGACACCAACGACGTGCATCAATTTACTGTTTAGACGCACTAGGGAAAGTGAAGATAAGCAGTTTGTAGAAAGTCAAATCCATTAAGGGAAGATTGAATTTAGTATGACTCAACATTGTGTTGAATAACATTTGCTACAATTACTTGTGTTATTATTTGGCACACTAATGTGTCCAATATTTGTACTTGAAGTATCGCCTTAAGCCAGTAAAGACAAGCATCAAAAGAAACAACACTTAATTGAAAGAGCTATTTTTTAAATAATTTTATACCAAGGCAAACGTATCAATATTTGCACTACAACTCTAAATGTGACGCACAGAAAGGAGCATTGTGCAACCCACCAACAATCTCCTTGCCGTCTTCATGTACAAGACTGCTTTGTTGGATAGCTAGATCAAGAAGAGGGTTTTCGTGTTCTTCGTGTCCACCTCCAGCGGTACTACTTGGCGCCGATGTTCCCCCTTCCGTCTCCTCTGTACGCTCGCTTATGTCTGATAGCACCCCAAAACCCCTGCCTCCAACACTTCCCCCACCCCCACCACCACCGACACCAGCCTCCCCTGCACCACTCCCGCCAGTCCCTCCGAACCCAATCATTACGTTCTTTTCGTTTATATCGTCTCCTCCATCAGAGGAGGAAGAGGAGGAAGAGCAGCTCTCAACTAGACTACCATCATTACTAGTACAACTTTTCATCTCGTCGATGGAGGCATAAGTCGGTTCCTTAATGGTCACCTCGGCAGGTGCAACCTCAGCTGCCGTCGGCTCCTGCGTTGCAACGAAGACTTTTGGCATGTCCAAACGTTGAAGAGTGTTTTGAGGGACAATATGGTGAGTAAAACCGAAGTAAGGTGGGGCAGGGGGAGGCGTGGTCTCGGAGCCTGTAACTTTTGATGTATTACATGATGCACTCTGTTGCCCTTTTGTTACCATCGCTTTAGGGCCATCCACCCAAGTTTCCTCAGTTGAATTGACTACCTCCTTGCCTTTGCGAACAGCTGCTGCTCGCGGCCACGCTGTTGCATTGGTGCGCGGGGTTACTCGCTTTATCAAACCACCTGATCGCAAAGTGCCCTGGAATGGAGCAAATATCTATTAAGGCACCGCCTACCTTACTGGTCGGCTCTATTGACTGTAAACTTACTATCCCTTCAGAATGGGATGCAGAACGACCAAGACAAGTCTTTCCGGCAGCGAGAGACCTTTGTAGAGTTCCTTCCTCGCCCGAACTAGCATATTTTTTCAACTCATCTACGGAGTGCACAACACTACCGTCAGCAAGGCCTCGAGGGCCCAACGAACTCCCAGTCTCACTGGCTCCACCACCCAGGTAAATGACCGTGTCACCTGCACAGGACTGTTCACTACTTGATGTGTAGTCGGTAGTAGAGGTGCCAAAAGAGGATCGGCCAAGGCGCGGTCTCACTGACAGGCGTGAACGAAGTCCTCGAGACGATGTTGAAGAGTCAGACGTTGTACCGCCAACCGTTGTAGTCCAACTGCTCCCACCCGCACTACTCCCTCCACTGCTACCGACGCGGCGACGGCGGAGTCGGTGCAGTCTGGAGGCCAACTGTACTACCTGTGTGGATCAATTGACAATCAATTTACATACCATCCTCCAGAATGACATCATCTGTCTTTCTTAAGCATTCGATTTCTCGAAAAACGAATTGCGATGACTGTTACATTTACATTTTAAGTTGTGCTAACCTGCAAGGTCTCTGCATAGTGTTGCTGCTGGCCTGAGGCATGTGCAATGATGCATGGCTGGGCATGGTTACCAGTCATTCCCTCACGCAAGAGTTGAGTAACCGCCGACTCTCTGTGTGGAAGCTGTCGCTGTCCAGTGAGCAAACCCAACAAAACATTCGCCATATTAGCTAATGACAGACTCTTCATGGTGGAATTTTGGTCCTGACCTTGTCCAATTTCCTTAGAACCATAGCGGCCACACCCCAGGTAGAGCAGTTGCAGACGGCTTCTACCGCCAGAAACTAAAGCAATAAAATAGTGCTTACTTAAAACATGCATTCAGTAGGGAGTGAAGTTTAGTAGCCACACCGATTGTTTACCCTCAGTTTCTAGTCCATTCCTCTCGACTTTATATTGATAAACATGCAGAGTAAAAAGGGTGTGAGAGATCGCCACGTTTTGAGCTCGGTTTGCAAGGGCAACGTCCAAGAGGTGAGCAGCGTGACCAGCAGTTGGGGCTCGAATTTCAGTCAGTTTATCCATGGTTTGGCTTAGTTTGGCGGCTGGAGAGTTATTATTGTTTCCGTTTGTCGAAGACACGAACTGGGTGTTGTGAATGGGACTAGTATCGCGGAGGTAGGTGCTTGGAGCTGGACCTGGTAAGTGATCGTCCTCACCTAACGTGTAGGGGGTAATTGGGTAAGCATAACCAAAAATGACCCGCCAACTTGCATACAATTTGGACAAACTTACTAAAAGTATTTGGACCCTTTGTTCAGTCGTCATCCATGCTACTCGGATATCCACTTAATAATAAACAACTTTGGTGGAACAGAAACCATTTATAAAAAAAATCAACGCCTCAAAGCGTGAATTTTTTAGTCGTAGCTATGGCGATACATTGAGACAGAGTTGCTACATGTGACAACTGGCCAAACGTGGCAGAGGTATTCATCAACAATTCCTTTTATCGTTGAGGAAATGCAAAACTAGTAACGATGTGTAGCCTATGTGGGTAAAGGGGGACAACAAATGGGAGTCAAATTCTCAATGAAGCAAATCGCACAGATGATGTAGCTGCAGAGCGAGCTAAAATCCGATGAAGGGAATTTCTGTTGAAATTCACGAATATGTTATGTACAATCAGTTAAGTGTACCTATTAGGCGGGAAAGAATTTGATGTTACTAACTTCCTGCTTGATCGGACGCCGAAAGAAAGCAAACCACTGCCTCGGACACAAAGTCAATGTCTGTACCTCGCTAATGATTAGTACTTAATGCAGCATGTCCTCATCCATCTCGCCATCTCATTCCAGAGGAACAAAGGTCAATA